TATTAGGCATGAATGCTTAATAACACACTACTACTAGTTAACATTATGTGCAGTTCTTCTGCTTTATCTTCTTCTTGTTACGGCCTAGCTTCCAGAATCTGAAGGTCTTCCTGGCGCTTGTCCTCTTCTTCTGCGGGCACCAATACGGAAGTGAGCGGGCCCCACCGCCGTCTTCCATCCATTTATGAAATCCTTAAACCGCGGGAAATTTTCCTCGCTGACTAACTGAGGAAACTCATTTTCAGTGAGGACGTAGATTCCCGTGGCTCTTGTCATAGTCGTTTTTAACGTTTCAAATGCGGTGCAGATTGTGAACACGTACTCTACAGTTTTCGGATCACTACAAGTTGGGCATAGAGTATATACATCAATGTCCAGACCGTGAAGTTTAGCTGAAAATCCTCCATGCCCAGTAAGGAACTGAGAAATCCAGTAGTTCGGGAGGACCCACTCACTTTGCCTGAAGCCTCGAATGTACCGTGATAAAATACTTCCTTTAGGGGTTGCTACCCACCGCCGGTTCCATGCTTCAATTGTGTCTTCCTGGAGTACTTCTTCTATCTATCTATCCAACAGGCGCTTCCATAATTCTCACCCGTAGATTGCCCGAAAGTACTTTATAGCCTTCCATCTTATAAGAATATTTCGTCACTTCTTCTAGTAAGAGGTGGTCGAGAGGCACCATCCCCGTTAGGAGCTGCACCGAAGTTGTCCTGTATGCTCTGGTGACGCGAGCTTATGAGTCGACGCTAGCTCGCTTTTTTTTTTTTTTTGTCGTTGTGTGAGGTTCCGGAATCAGAACGGAGACGCATGCCTCAGGATACCCGATGCTATGATAAAGCCAGTTCTAATATATGACAGTGAAACCTAGAAACTATACAGAACCCAAGAAAAAAGTGTTAAAAGCTTGAGAGAAGAATCCCCCGCACCATAACCTGAGTGGTCTGGAATCAGAGTACTAACATATGGAGAAGACCAATAAAGAACTGCTTACAGAAACTGGTCAATCAAAACCCCATGATATGAAGGCAGCGAGGTTAAGATGGGCAGAACTAAGATAGGGGGTTAAGATGGGCATGGAGTTAGTCGCAATCCATCTGGAAGCCTCTACCAAACAATGAATGCCTCAATAGAAGGCAAAAGAACAGCTGGAAATGCCCAAAAAGCAGATGGATAGATAGAATCAGCAAAGATGCTATAGAGCTGCGTGCGGATAAATCCCTTTTCCGGCTCTCAGGTATGATGGATTTTGATGAACGAGGTATCAAACTAAAGGGAAATTCTTGGAGAAGTGACGAGTCTCAATTTCGATTCTTAAATACCTACAACTTAAATTAAAGTCATTGGAAAAATTGGAAGTATTTATTTAGTATAGTTGTAAACTTAAATAAATGTAGATCACTAAATCACACGAAGGGCCTTTAAACTACCGATCATACTGCATTGGGTAGAACAATTTATATCGAATGTTGATATAGAAAAATTCATATACTTGCACAGGAGCATGCAGAGAAAAATAACTTTAACTTAAGTATCTGACTATTTTAGGTATCAATTGACCGTAAGGCATTAGTTTAAGAATGTATCCTTTTCAGGACAGTCAAGAAATATTGAAATAAAAGAATTTCATTATTTTAAAATAAAATAAAATTTAAATTAAAGAACAACATACAAGGAGATGGATACAGATTAGGACAGATATGTAGAATCCTGGAGAAGATTACGAAATATCATATATGATGAATTATTGAAGGTATAAATGTATATATATATTTCTATTTTTTAAATGAGTATGGTACAACGCGCTGAAAGCTCTTTGTGCTGATGGCATAAACTTGAGAATGAATAAAAGGATATTTTTCTATATCTGAAGAATAATATTTACAGACTACTTATTAAACAGAATTAATTTTTGAAAAAAGACAAGACGAAATTTAAAAGAAACAAAAATGGAAGCATCGAGTTACACGCCCCGAAATACAGAGCTAATTAATTTATCGAGGGTATATTTACACACGGCTTACCTCTTTGCCAAGGGTAGCGTGTTTTACCTCTTAGTCACACTAGTTGCAATTAAAGTTACGCGTGTTTTTTTCTGTAACAACGAAAACAAACGATTAAGGATATAAGCAAATTCTTTAAATTTATGATAATCAAGACACGCTGTAATTTCAAGGTTTTATAAAACGATCAATTATTCGAAAATTTCTCTCAGATAAATAAAATTTGAAAGTGTAGTCAAATTCTTGAACAATTTAATGATGTCTATTATGGATAGTGGATAACAAAATAGTGGTTAATTAATGAAAACAATTCAAGAATAAAAATTGTATAAGTGTGGAACTTTTTTGCTTAAGTATCGCCAGTTATTTTTTTTACTCATTTAGAACTGTTACAAATTTGTCAAATGTACATGATTTAATAAATTATTACGATTTCAATAATTATGTTATAACCTAAATCATACATACATTGTTTTATCGAGAATGAAATTAAAAAAAAAAAACTTAAAACTTAAAAATTAAATAACATTCCTTCATCACGAAAGAGAAGTATGCTTGGAGAATAAGAATTAGATTTATTTGATGAAATATGTCAGGCAATTAATATTGTTAAATTTTTATATATTACTTCTCAAAGTTTTTTTTTTTTTTTTTTTCTGGCGGTACGCCATAATTTCGTCAATTCTCCATCAAATCCAATGATTGGCCATTCGTTTTGAGGATATTCTTCTCCTTCACATGCGAAAAATATTCATATCTCCAAGAAATTTCTGTAAAAAAAGTTATAAAGGAAAAGAAACTTTATTTGCGAATAACTCATTTCATTTATACATGAATACAACATTTCCTCCTCTTTAAAGACTGCTACTCTTTTTCTCCCGGCTAAAAAAAGGGGAATTTTTTTTTTTCGTATATTTCATTTTTTTAATAATTTAGAAAATCCCATAATCGAGGCTTTATTTTGAATATTACCCTTGCAGAGCGATTTTTACAAATATTTGGTTTATTATGTTAAATGGTATAATGGCGCATGCGTATAGGTCATACACGCCTTACACATGGAAACCTGATGGCCCATGATTCTTCGCCAACATGCCAAACTTGTGGGACTCCTCTGACAGTGAAACACATTTTAACAGAATGTGAACTCTCTTGTGACTTGACAAACGATCTACACTCCATTTTACAGGACAATACGAATGAAATTAATAAACTATTTTATTTTCTGAAATATTCTAAACTTGAAAATACAATCTAGTTCTCAATGAAAATAAGGCAATAATTCAACCCTAGTGGTTGAAGCCTTAAAATAAATATATATAAAAAATGGAATAATGTAATTGACCAAGGAAAAACAATAAATTCTTTCCTCACGTAATAAATAGGATCTACTTATTTCCATATTGTTTTACTATCCCTTTAATAAACAAAACTGTCTGCGAATTATTCGCACGGGCCAAATAGTATTTAGAATATTTGTTATTCTCTAAGTTAACTTATTTCATGTTTATCTATTGTTCAATATTTTTCAAATTAAAAAAAAAAACATTTATTCTTTTTGACTTATGAATTCTAAATAATAACTGTTATTTTAATTTATTCGCATATGGCGGTAACTGTTGCTCAAAGTGACTGGCGATACTTAATTTAAAAAAATACTCCAAAGTATCGTTATAAAATATCTATACCCAGGAACAAAACCGGCCAATGGTCAAAACTTTGAATTGTGAGTGAAAATAAGAAAATAATAGACAATAGAGTTAGAAATGCAGTAATTGTTAAAAGTGTTCCATCTTTTCTTATCTGATTTACAAAAGGACTTGGATCCTTTTAACAAAGAATGTATACCTGTACCAGTACCTGGTCCACTGATTTCATTCATGCTGTTCACCCAAATTTCAAAGATTTGGGTATTGGCCTACATTTCTCTTTTCCTCCTAAGGTATATTCAAAATTATTCATTTAACTTCTCAAAGGTCTGAGAAAGAAAAGTTCCGTGATGGGCCAATTATTAAATAAATTAAACGATAAGGCCAATTTTAAGTTTTTACTTTTAAACTCATAAAAGGGGTGAGAAATGGAATAAAATAATTTCATTCTCTCATCGTTCTTTATAACAAAAGAACTAAGAGGAACCTAAAATTTTTAAAAACGAAATTTCTATGGCGGAGAAACAAAATGTAGTAAAGGAAAATACGACAGCTTTCATGATTGTGTATGTATTCTATCTAGTTGTTCCATATATCTCTATGTATTGCCAAAAATATCTTTGGTTTCATACTATTATGCAGTAAATGTTGTTTTGCCTGGCTCTGATGAAGGCTTGTCCGAGGCAGAAAAATCACACACGTCGGAGTAATTTCTTTCTTGGACGCTCTCTCCTTCCCTAAAACAACTTCTTCCAAATCTTCTTCAAATGAAACTTAGGGAATTAATTGTAAGAGTAATTTAAGACTACACTGAGAAGTGACAAAAAAGCAAGCTGAAGGACAAGTACTAAGGTCTTCCGCTCACGATCGAGAAGGACTCGAACTCAAAGAGATTCCTCTCCTCAACTCAACTTCTTCGTAATTTTTATGTGATTCGCCGGAGAGAAATTATGCTCTCAAAGAGAGAAAGACTTGGAATGTGGGAAATGTTGATACTGAGAAAAATTGAAAGTGACACTTGAAACGAGAGAATTGCGAGTAATATTCATATCTAAAACTTTTCCCATTTTAACTGTATATATATATTGTTTCCGATTCTCCTTTATTTGAACTTTATATGAATAACTTTTAATTAGGTACTAAAAACTCGTAAATACCCATATGCTTTTCACCTGAATCGTAAGATAAGTTGATCACAAAATCGAGAAAAAAAGGTGTCCTTCATGGCCTTTAACATATGATCCCTTATTACTATGTGTATATATATATACACACACAAACCTACTTTCGACGAAACATTCAGTTCTATTAACGAATTCGAGCGGGTCACTTAAGTAAATGGAGTTACATGACCTTCTACGTTCTATTAACCGTGTTTCTTCACAAAACAGGGCGAGTAAATTTTGAAAGGGCTTTTAAGAAACCATTCTCCATAATAAGATTTGGTAAATATTGAAATAATTTTATCTTTCTCCTCACCAACTTTACCGTTGAGCAACGGATTGTATAAAAACTATCCTTCAATAATTGTTACACTCAGAATTCAATGGATTCATACATCTAAAGTTCCATTTCTTTATTAAGTCATTTACTAATTTAGACTAGTTAGTTGATGTCAATCAACCAAAAATTGGAAATTTTGATGGTTCTTTATTAACATATATCAATTGACCAGAAAATTATCGTAAGCACGAATAAAAAAGAAAATACTTTGCAGCATGATGACTTACATATAATAACACTCAGAGACTCATATACACTTAACAGTGTTAAATGTACTTGCTTTATCATATACTTTGAGTGTCTTACCCGGTATTGAAACATGCGTTTCATTTTCAATTTATATTCAAGACGTAAGTATATTTTAATGACTTTCAAAAAACTCAAATTCAAAGGAATATAATATTATTATAAAAAGAAAAAAAGATTTACTTAAGCAACAATTACAAATAAAATCAAGAAAGGTTAATGTCCAAGAAATACGATAAGACTGTCTTTCAAGGGTAGAAAAATAAAGGAATATTTTAAAACATTAATTTATTTATTTTTCTTATTTAATAGCGGTTCAACCGGTTTTTTAAGCGCTTGCTTCGACTTTTAGAATCCTACTTCTTGGAGCTACATCATACACGCGTTTCAATTTTTTTTTTTCGATTCTAAAGATATTTTGTCAAAAAAAGACAATTCAATACAAAATAACAATTTGATTAATAAATAAATAAACCGATGTTTCTGATTTTTTTAAAAATTATATTGTATTCATTATAAAGACATAGAAATTATGCTTTAACTGTCTAATTCCTTAGATTAATATTATTTTCGGAATATTTTTAAATTTAAAGTTACACCCACGATCATTTCTTACATCGTAATATCTTTCTCGTAACTTTTTTTATTTTGTCAATTACTGAAAATTTGTAACAATGCGAAAAAAACACTTCTTCAACATGAAATAAATTTATGCGCTCGTCGCTTTCAAATAAAATTTTATAAAATATCTTGAATGAAAGATATGAAAAAAAAAAAAAAAAAAAAAAGAAACAGACAAAAACTTTTCTGGTTAATGAAATTTGTATAGATATGATACAAATTCTGCATACAATTCTGGAAATAAATATCAGAAAAAATATCCATAATATGAAGACTAATTTTATTACATTAAAAACGAAAGAAGATCAAATCATATGTTTTTCTATGTTAATTTAATATCTTAATCTTTAATTTTTTTTATAAAATTATTATTTAATATATTTAGTTATATATTGTTAAAAAAAAAATAATAACAATACTAAAACCAAAATGGTGCAAACAATTTAACTATTTTTCGTTTAACAAAATGTGTGTATTCTACGTTTCCGCTGTTGGTTAGAATGGAACTACCAAACTCGACGTATGACCGCAGATATTTTATAGACAGTTCCATAATGAAAGAGATATTTAAGGGTAGATCTTGAAAACTAATCTTAATTTAACCATTTTCATATCTTATATTAAGTATATAGAATCCATGATAAATCAAATGTAGAAAAAAATAAATTGAATAAAAATAGAAGTAAAAGTTGAAGTATTTGCGAGGATAAAACCTGTATTTATAACTTCTAGTACATAATGTCATTTTTTTTTTCAAATTTATTATTCTTGTATCAATATACTTTGGTTAATGATTATTTTTTCGTTAATCAAGCGAAATTATTGATTCCTTTAATATATCAAGCTACAGTTAATATTTTAAACTTTTCTGAACTGGAAAAAATATTGAAACTCTTAAATCTAAAGTTGTGCGTAGCATGACCCCGAAGCAATAAAAAAAAAATATTATTTTCAATGAATTACGTTCAAAAAAAGTTTTCTAATTATGAATAAATGTCTCGAAAATATTATTATATGAACCATACTGCAGATTCGGAAATAATGAAAAAATTACCATTAACCAAAGTTTAATGACAAAAGAATAAGAATAAAAAAAAAAGTACATAAATAAAATATGTACACAAGAAAATGTTTGGTTTGCAACACTTGATGGTTCAACATAAAAAAATGTTTAGTAATGAATGACAGTTTTATTCTAGTTTTTTTTTTATAACATAAGTAAATTAAAAGCTACACAGAAGGAGGAGGGAGAAAAGTGCTTTTTAAAGATTTATTTTGTTTTATAATTTAGTAATAAAATAGTCAGCAAACATCCTTGTTAAATTTCCGAAGAGGGTCTTTATCACTGAAATATTTCAAATATATGCTATTATAACTTATGATAGCAATTGTTTGCATGTTTACTACCTAGTTTGTAGAAGATAAAATCAAAATTGATAGTTTTATTTTTATTGTGACTTTTTCAAACTAATCTTAGTACATTATGTAATTTATGCATTGAAAAAGAAGACGAACATTTAAGATAATGTTGGAAAATAATTATCAATTCTGCGAAAGTAAAAATTATTTATAAACGATTGAACTTACAAATAAAACAATATTAACAGTTACATTCCAAACAAAACAAAAACTAAATCAAGAATAAATATCCAATTACGAAAAGATAATCTTAAAATATAAATATTTATTTAATATTCATTCTTGTAAATTATGATTTTCTCCATCAATTTTTTTTTTTGCTTTAAATCAGAGAAAACAGTAAAACAAAGATCTGGGCAAAGACGCCTTCCTAAGCCAACCCCGCAATACACGTAGGATACATGAGGGAAAGAAAAGAATGTAATGTCAGCATGGAAACAAAAATTAAATTAAGTATCATTAATTTAACAAACAATTATCTCAACACAGTTATTACATGTTTTATTATCATACCTCTTCTTACCACAATTTAAGCCTTCAGTAAAACCTGAAAATCATAAAAAAATATCGCGCAAAATAATAATGACTTATGTTTTATTTTATTTTCTATAATAATTATTACTATCCTTAACGTCAATAATTTATCATTAAAATACCTACAATATGTGATTAACAAATTAACTGTAAGCAATCGTTAAGAGTGCATTATGTATTAAATATATGAAATAAAGAAAAAAAAAAATTTTTAAAATAGATTTTGTACCTATAATTCTTACAAATATTAATAACAGATGTGGTGACAAGTAAATGGTATTCTCCATTTTAAATAAACCAAATCAAACAATTATCTTATTGCAATTATTAGTTCAAATTTCAGATTGTTATGCTCTGAGACAAATTACTGCTTTAGTAGATGTAATCTAAATTTATATACACCGATAAAAAGTACTTTTGTATAATACTTAAAACACTGCAATGGATACAAGATGCCAAAAATGGCAACATGGCATAATTTATGCAACAAAACATATAACTCAATTTTTAAATATAAATAATTGTATACAAAATATATAATAAATAAAAATTCTAAATAAAAGACTTGGTACGTCACCTCATTTTCTGATTCACTCTTAACACAAATGCATGCCGCACGTCTTCTGAAACCATCCTGATCATAAATCCGAGTCGAACCTGGCTTTTCTTTCACCATTTTATACACTTCAAGATTCAGATAAATTAAAAAATGTTAAAATTTAGACGGGGTAAAATATAAAGAACTAAAACAACATTTAAGGACTGAAAAGCAACTAGATCACGTAAATCCACAAATGACCGCCATTCTATATAAACAAAATTGGTTTTTCAAATAAAAAGGAACTCCATTTCCAAATAGAAAAATAGTATCTCTACAATTGAAATACTAAGACAAATATTTAAAAAATATAACTGAGCACTGGTAACAGCACCCTCGCAATGAAGACTACGAGTTATTAAGCGGCACAAGAGCGTCCATGTTGTACTCTCGACAGATCATGAACGAATGGAGAACTGTTCTACAACAGCTGATTCTCGAACAACAACAAAGCAACTCTATCAAAGGCACTGGCTTTTATTTTTATCATCCCCGATAAGATAACTTATTTAAATCTTTTTAGAAAAAAATTGCTGTCCATATTTTTCTATGTAACGCATTTTGAACATTAAATAATTTGTTTAAAAATTAAGTTGAAAAATCAGATTTAGAACAATCATTATAATAAATCCAAAAATAACCGAAGTAACATATTTCAGAATTAACAATTTAAATTATTACTATTTTAGCAATTTCGATGAGTCAATGCAATCAAGATTATATACAAATTAAACTTTTTAACCTACAAAGAAATAGTAACCCTTCAACTAAACAATAACCTACGCACTTGTTTTAGTATTGACAGTGACAGAAGTACCTATTTTATTTATTCTTAATAAAGTAGCTATTTATCCTTAAATATCTCTGTTCGTATTCTATATATTTAAAAAGTTAATATGAAGTGTTCACAATTAAAAGAAACATTAAAAGACGCTGAAACCCATATCCGCAAACTTGACTGTAAACAACGTAAACTAAATCCTCTTTCTGTTGCATTATTTCTTCATTAATTTAAAATTCACTGATTTTTCAGATCAAATACTAAAGGCGAAGCAGAAATTACAAATTCTTAAAAATAGAAAGAACTTTCTTTGTGCGAAATTAAAAATTATGAAGATGGCGATTTTAGAAGTACGTCTTAAAGGAAACGTTAAGCGAAACGAAACAAAACAAAATAAAGAAATTGAACAGGATTTGTCACATATGTTGGGGAACATGCTTTCCATCCAAAATGGTGTTTAACTTCCTTTTATCAGTGTTTGTAGTGTACATCAATATTATTTCTTGTAAGTAACACAATGAGAAATAAGCTCAGTATAAATTCATTTTTTTCTATCACATAGGTATAGATATATGCTTTGTCACCCTTATATTTGTTTTGAAATTGATTTATTGTATATTAATAATGTATAAATCTGTACCACTACAACCCATGAAGGGTCTTGGGTTCAGTAGTTTTTAGGGAAAGTACTGTTTCTTAATCAACAGTTGTTGAGAGTCATGCACAACTCAGGTTTTTCCCTTAATTATTAATTTGATTAATTAAATTTAATTAAGGGGCATTCGAAGATCAGTGCCCTACCACTAATAATAATGTATAATTGTTATTAAACCTTATTTGGTTTTATACCAAAGGTATCCCATATTTGTCAGGGCATTGTTTTCTACAAAAGTTAGCGTTCTCAATATTTTTTTATTTGGTTTAAAATGAATACTTCAGCAGAAAACAGCAATGTATTATTTTAAAGGTATCATGTTACATAATTTTATTTTTTTCTAAATAGTTTAACAGTACAAACATTATGGATAGTTTTGAATAAAAAGTTTAAATTGCATTAAGTTATCCGATGTTATGAAACCATAACTTCCTTTGTATTTTGGGAATATTAACCTACAAATATTATTTTTATGTTTTAAATAATTGTTTTTCAATTTATCTGTTTTTAATGTAGTAGTCTTAGGTTAGGCATAGTGATACATATTAAAAACTTATCATATTTTAATTTTATTCATCACTAAATTTGTAATGTTGCTAAAGCAAAAGCCATTGTTAATTTAACTAAACATACTCTCCTTAAACATAAATATTCCTGACTTTTTGTTCGAACATAATATATTTGTATTTCTTAATCCTACTTTTCTATCATTAGGTTCTGTTTATGTTTAGAAAATAAAATGGTTGAACTGTATAATGGGAGAAGTATCAATATTTTTATATCTTTATTACTCAATCTCTAAAACTAACCTAAAAAACAATTTGACCTTATGAATTTTTTTTTTTTTAATGGGTATTTTTATATTTCAATCAATAATTTTTTTTTATTAAACACTGAAAACTATTTATAGAAGTTGCCAAATGTGTCTTCAGGTTATTGAAAATAAAAGTACATTTTTGATGGATATGAGCCTACAAGTACATCGTAGTTAGTTTATATCATTCTTTTTTTTTTTTTTTTCTGTTGGCATTACAGACCATGTAGATCTTTTGCCACTTTAACAAGCCTGCTCCATTTCTACCTGTCGGGCTATTTCTTTCCATTTATCTGCACGCACTCTGATGCATCTTTATTGATTTTATCTACCATGTTGTCTTTATGTCTTCTATTGAGGCATTCATTGTTACGTAGAGACTTTCAGATGGATTGCTATGAGCTACATGTCCTGCCCATCTTAACCTCTGTTCCTTCATATCATGGGATATTGATTGACCAGTTTCTGTAAGCATTTCTTTATTGGTCTTTCATCTGCGGAGGATTTGCCTCTCATATCTTTCTACACTTGGATTGGATTCTACATTGGAATTCTTTGCCACATAATATCCGTCATGTCTCTTCACTGTCAACCTTCAAATACCTCCTTTTCCAATATCTCCTCACATCCCAAACAGACGATTCGCAACCATAAATTTCATTTTATGAACTGAATTTGTGAGAAGTAAATGGTGATGCCTAGAGTTTAAGTTTTAACTTAAAACAGCAAAGATTTTTGACTATTATTTTTACTATTTATTTGTATTTCTCTTCACCTCAGGTTCTGCTTTTTCTTTCATGTATATATGTTTATATTTTATACTTTTTGTCTCACTGTGTAGCAATATGAGTAAGTACGTATATATAGTTCCTTTTTTACCTTTATGCCACAATTATTCCTGAGATTTTATTTTATCTTAGTGTTTCCTTATTATTGTATGAATCACTGTATATATTATTACATTTTGTATTAAATTATGTTTCTATTAGATAGCCTATTGTTTATAAATTGTGCAGTTATGTATATATAGATATGTAATTTCTTTTCTGTCTTTTTTTTTTTTATCGTAATAATAAGTAAATTTGGAGAAGATTGTATGTTCATTTATATATGTATGTGTGTGTATGTATGTGTATATGTGTGTGTGTGTGTGTGTGTGTATATATATATATATATATATATATATATATATGTATATGTTATATATATATGTGTATGTGTGTGTATGTATATATATGTGCGTGTATTTATATATGTGTATATTTTTATTGTTTATTTCTTAGTGGTTACATACTACTTTTTAAATAATGCATATTATGTTAGAATTTTTATAAGTTAGTTTTTGGCCAGATTGGTATTTTATTTTGTATTAATTCATCTTTGTTATTCTAAGGAGACTTAGTCCCAGAATAAAGTTCTATTTTCTATTCTATACCTTTCTTTAGGATAGGACAGATTAGGCCCGTGTTCTAAGCCTCATGTATCCTTTCCTCTTCTCATATTTTCTGGATAAGTTGTAGTAGCTTGGCTCTTAAGTCCTCTCCTCCATCTTTAAACAGTTCTGATGGTAGGTTGTCTATCCCTGGGGCCTTTCGATAGCTATTTCTACATCCAGTATATTTTCAACCACTTCTGGGTCAAGGTGTGGTCCATGTTTTGTTCGTTCATGGGATCTCCTTGATTGAGAAGTTCCTGGAAATGTTCTTTTCAGATGTTCAATATACTTTCTTTAGATGCCTTCAGAATGCCATCTTTTTCTTGCATTTGTGTATTTTTTGCTTTATACCCTACCCTTTCTTTCCTAATGTCTGCGTAAAATTCGCATATATCTCCAACCTGCCAGTTTTCCTCAATGGTTTGCAATATTTCTTTGAGGAATTCCCATTTTGCTGGTCTTATAGTTTTGTTTGCCTTTTTCTTGGCAGCTGTGTACCTGTCCTGAGCAACTTGATCAGTTGTAGTTACGCAGAGGACTTTCATTTTTCTTCTTTCCTCTACTGCCTTTTCGCATGCT